AGCACCATTTGTTAAATAGGGAATCTTTTCCCCACTCAATGTTTTTAATTGGCTTGTCAAAGATCAGGTACTGGTAAGTAGTTGGATTCATCTGTCCCATTTATATTCTTAAAAATCATTAAGGACTCCAAAGAGCTTTTGTTTACATGGGTTACATACATTCAAAATGAAAATGAGAAATTTAAATTTTATTAATTAAAAAATAAGAAACTAATTATGTATCTACATAAACAAAAAACCTGTTTTCCAAAACAAAAAACAAAAAAATTAGTGAGATGAATGCCATTATTTTGTTTGTAAATCTTTACTATTTAGCTTAATAGTACACCTGGATTTTTCTTTTTCTTTCTTTTCTTTTTTTGAGACAGAGTCTCACTATGTTGCCCTTTGTAGAGGGCTGTGGCATCATAGCTCATAGCAACTTCCAACTCTTAGGCTTAAGCGATTCTCTTACCTCAGCCTCCTAGGTAGCTGGGACTACAGGTGCCCGCCGCAATGCCCAGTTATTTTTTGTTGTTGATGTTATTGTTGTTTAGCTGGCCCGGATTGGGTTCGAACCTGCCACCCCTGGTGTATGTGGCTGGCGTAATCACTGTGCTACAGGTGCTGAGCCATACACCCGGATTTTTATATATGCTTCTGTATTCATTCTGTTGTACCATGTTGTTCTAGTTGAAGTATATGAAGAAAACCTGTACTTGCAGAGATATGAAGCTGGGAACGGAAGTCTTGATTGGCCTTTCCAAATAATTGCGGATGTTGTTCTTTTATACTATGCCAAAAGTTGACAGGTGATAGTTTCTTAAAGCTATATAATGTAGTGTAGACTTTTTGTACTAGTATATTAAAATCCACTAGTTAACACACATGTAGAATAGATTTTCAACCACGTATAATTTTGTAACATCACACACGTTGGTCATTTGGAAAATACTGGTTCACTAAAAATGTTGGCACATGTGTCAAAAATTCTCAATTGTTAATGTTGCCAACCCTCTCGTCAAAAGAGATTTTAAGTATTGAGAAGTAATCATTTTCATAGTGACAGAAAAGAGTTTTTCATGATTCTAATTTTTGCTCAAAAGCTTGAATTTCATCACCAGCAATAAACAATTTCATCTGTTTTCTTTGAAGTGACAGGCTCACTTCATTTTTTAGAAAATGTCTGCCAAATACCTAATCATAGTTGTCATTCTTTCAAATAAAAATTGTCTTTGAAAAAAGTGGCTAGATTGGCTCAGCTCACAACTCAATCACATATTACACAGGTGACCTCTTAGCATAACCATCATGCTTGAGTTTGGGGAAGAAGCACTCTAAGTGCTTTTTTTTTGTCACACAGAATAAAAAGGTGTGTACTCAGGGCCGAGATTTAACAAAGTTAGTAACTTTTACCTCTTCATCAAGGACTTCATCATTCTTAAGTAAAAATGGCATTTATTTTTATTGTGACTACTATAGTCTGTTAGTAGTGTGTTGCCTCTGCCTTGATTCATGCTAAGATACAAGCAGTTTTACTCATCAATACTTTTTCACCAACAGTGCAAATATCAGCACAGTGAAAATGGCAATTAATGTTTTAGTATTATTATAAAAATATTTTTGAATCTGTGTCACCTCTAAAAGGGTCTCAGGGATAAAGTTGCCAGATTTAGCAAATAAAAATACAGAATGTCCAACTGAATCTGAATCATGTAACAAATATATTTTTAGTATAAATGTGTCCCAAGTATTACATGGGCTATACATACACTAAAAATATTCTTTTTTTTTTTTTTTTGAAATAGAGTTTTATTTTGTTGCCCTGGGTAGAGTGTCATGGCGTCATAGCTCACAGCAACCTCAAACTCTTGGGCTCAAGTAATTCTCTTGCCGCAGCCTCGTGAGTAGCTGGGACTAAAGTCTCCTGCCACAAACGTCTGGGTATTTTTCAAGAGGAGGTCTTGCTTTGGCTCAGGCTGGTCTGGAACCTGTGAGCTCAGGCAATCCACCTGCCTTGGCCTCCCAAGTGCTAAGATTACAGGCATGAGCCACAATGCCTGGCCACTAAAAATATATTCTTTATCTGAAATTTAAGTTAAACTGAATGTCTTATATTTTATCTGGCAACCCTAGTCAGGGATCCATATTCCACATCCTAAGAAGCATTGCTTGGGGGCATTAAGCATTATACTTAATTCTGAATTGAATAAGACTTATCAATACTTGAGTGCTAATTAAGTATTAGTACTTAAAACTATAAAGGCTCAACATTTTGTCTTTACAGAAAATATCACTACCTGCAATTATCTTAATTTATTTGCATTAAATATTGTTTATCTTCCTCAAGAACTGCAGTTTTATAAGGGAGGGATTTTGTCTGTTTTGCTCATCACTAAATCCTTAGTACTTGGCACAAAAGAAATTCAATAAATATTTTTTAAATGGATGAGTGAATAAATAACTAAGGAGTACTGTGACACAAATGCTCACAGAGAATGAACAGGTATAGTGAAGACAGAATGGAGATCTCAGAGTCCCTGGGCACTGACTGCAAGCATTTCCATTTGCCAGGTACCTACTATTTCCTCATTAGGGTAAGGAAAATAGAAAGCGCTTAGGACTAAAGAAGATGGGAAGAAAAGGGCTTTTCTAAAGAATATCTCTATATCCCAACTAAGGCTCTTAACCTTCAAACATTACTTCCAGGATAGGTCTTAATATGCTTTCCTAAAAATAACTATTCTCAGAAAAAAGATAGGGAGGGATGAAGAGAATAGGACAAGGCACGAGGCCTTAATGGCAGGCTGGATATGGCTCTTCTATTCACTGCAGGCAGCTGAGAGGTTCTGAAGTTGTAATACAGAGAACCAGGAAAGCAGAGCCTCTTCCTGGGCTTATAGTATTGGAATTGTGGTGGGTCCTGATTTAACTATTTTCTCACGAGAATGATGTATCTAAAAAGCACTATATTCTCCAACCTCAATGTGATTATGAAGTTCAGTTAGAATACTTAGTACTTTAAAGAATGCCCAAACTCTTCTAACTGGAGCTATTTGTGTGTGTATATTAACTTAATGTACTTAATTTATTTATTCAGGCTAGAGTACAACGGTGTGATTGTAGCTCACTAGAATCTCAAATTCCTGGGCTCACACAATTCTTCCACTTCAGTCTCCTCAGTAGCTAAGACTATACTGCCCAGGCTAGTCTCAAATTCCTGGCCTTAGGTGAACCTCCCAGCTGGCCTCTCAAAGTGCTGGGATTATTGGTGGGAGCCACCTTGCTGAGATCACAGAACGTATCTTAAAAACACAATTTCTCAATTACCTGAAATATTAGGTTTCATTTTCATTGGTGAATAAACAGAAAACATCCACTGCCCTGATGATTCCCAAATCTCCATATCTTTTACAATCCCTTCTCTGAAAAAAACAAACAAAAAAAGTAAAGGATTTTTTAACTCCTTGGTAAATTTATTATTATTTTCAATGACTGAAATTTAAAACTCTAGTAAATACATAGTTAAGAATTTTTCCTATTATATTTTCTGATGAATATTCTTTAAAGCTGAAGCTTATAGATATATGAACTATATTTCATAATTATAAATATGTCAGAGAAGTTAATAATTTTGGTTTTTAATACACTGAACCATTTACAAATATATGAAGAACCATCATATGTACATTTTTAAAAGGATTAAAGTATAATAAAACATACAATACTAACTTTAATCTTTTCTTGCTCATTATCATAAACATCAATGATCATTTATATGGAAATGACAAAGTACTACTTAAATGATATACAATCATGAAATTTTAAAAGTGGTTTATAAGATTTCAAAAATCACTTTGTCTAATTCTCACATTTTGCAACAGTGGAAAGAGATTCATATTCATAGAGCTGATTTATGGCAAAGCCATAAATAGATTTGGCTCTACATGAAAGCTTCTGCCCATCCAGAATGCAACAATAAAATGATAAATATTACACAGAATACTGTATTAAATTTAAGAATGCAGCAAATATAAGTAGGATTTTATTTGTTCCTTTACTTTTTATTTATTTATTTTTTCTTTTGAGAAAGAGTCTCACTTTGTGGCCCTTGGTAGAGTGCTGTGACATCACAGCTCAGAGCAACCTCTAACTCTTGTGCTCAAGCGATTCTCTTGCCTCAGCCTCCCAAGTAGCTGGTAATACAAGCGCCTGCCATAACGCCCAGCTATTTTTAGAGATGAGGTTTGCTCTGGCTCAGGCTGGTCTTGAACCTGTGAGCTCAGCTTCCCCGAGTGTTAGGATTACAGGCTTGAGCCATTGCACCTGGCTGTTCTTTTATTTTTTAAATAAACAAATTGTATATAGTACATAGCTCAAAATATTTACCACCGGTTCTAATTTAGTTATGGGAAGTAAAAGATTAATGAAGTATATTTAAATTCCATCCAGGGAGCCATGAACTGGGATATATTATTTATTACAAAACATATTTTGGCACCAGTCATAAATTTTACCATGAATGCTTCTAGAAAATGTCATGAATTGGCTGGGCAGAGTGGCTCACGCCTGTAATCCTAGCACTCTCTGGGAGGCTGAGGTGGGTGCATTGCTTAAGCTCAAGAGTTGGAGACTAGCCTGAACAAGAAGAACGAGACCCTATCTCTACTAAAAGCAGAAAACTAGCAGGACATGGTGGTGCATACCTGTAGTCCCAGCTACTTGGAGGATTGCTCAAGCCCAGGAGTTTGAGGTTGCTGTGAGCTGTGACGCCATAGCCCTCTACCCAGGGTGACAGAGTAAGACTCTATCTCAAAAAAAAAAAAAAAGTGTCATGAATCTACTCCACAACAAATCAATGAAAGAAATCAGTTTGAATTGAGCAATCAAAATAAAAGTTTTCAAAACAAATGAGATGCTGTAAGTGACCTTCAAGATCACAAATTATTCTAAATTACCTCATACTTTATAAAGAACTCATAATTTTGAATGAACTTAAGCAGGGCTAACCTTATAAAGATATTCATAATAGTGTTAAAAATAGAAAGTGGAAAAAGCATAATTACCCCTAGAAAGGCTCTCTACTAATATGTAAAGATGATATATTTTTAAGTGAAATAAAGTCTAACACGATATACAGCAAGAGACTAGTTTTCTCTAATAAGACCATGGATGATTTTTCTTCTTTTTGCTCTCTCACTCTACTTTTTTAATAATTCATACTTCTTTTTTTTTTTTTTTTTAAATAGTATAGGGGCTTTAAGAAAAATAAGCAAATTGGTAGTAATTTTCCTGAAGAGTTTCACTTACAGAAGTTTCTTTTCCTCTTTTTGTCCATCAGAGCTAAGTGAAGCAAATGGGTTCTCTGAGAATCCAAAGCCTCTGTTCCTTCCAGTTGAAGTTCCAGAATCAAAAGAACTAAAAGATGGCTTTTCTTGATCTCTGCTGCCCCCCCATGGTGTTGATTTGGTGAAACTGGATGGCTGGATTACGCTGGAATATCTCTGGTTGGTGGTATTCCATCCACGTCTGTTGCTACCTGAAATAAACAATAGAACAAAATAACCTTACTAGCAAATCCTCTTTTAAATCTCAAAAATCTTCATCATATTTTGTCTTATTATGTTTAGACATTATACAAAGACTCAACAAGCATTCATTTAAAATGATAATCTCAAGGGCATATTTATAACTCTCATTTAACATGTACAAATGCAAAGTATGGAACCAAAATGTGTGTACCCCTGCATTATTCTGAAATAAAAAATTAAGTTAAAAAATGATAATCTCTTCACTTTGATTTATAGATAACAGTTAGATGTAATATCAACAAACCACATAATGGTCTAATTGCATTTTTATTTAAGAAAAATAATGATGTATAACCAAATTCAGGTGAATAAGTTTATTAAACAATTGTTTGATAGTTTGTGCACACATGCATCCTAAATCATAAGCTACTTCAGGATAAAAAACTATGTTTTTATCATTCTTTGTTCTCTCGCCCTGCATCATAGTATAGGCTGAGAAATGGACAATGAATCGAAGAGTTTAGTGAATATAAAAGATTAGAATTCTACCCTCTGTACTTGAATAGATGCTTATGTCTATGTGACTCAGTCTTCCCTCTGGGGAAAAAACACCTACACACCTAGCTTTTAGAGGGAGATTAGAGAGGTTATTTACGTGTGAACCAAGTGTACTGAGTTCCTCTATGAGATTTCTAATACTTCATAAATACCAAAATGAGACAAGAGGATCCTCTCTCATCTCTATATTGTCTGTCTCCCAGGCCAGAGCATTCTAGTGTCATCACAGCTCACTGCAAACTCAAACTCCTGATTTCAAGTGATCCTCTTGCCTCAGCCTCCCAGGAGCTAAGATTATAGGTGCATGCCACCACACCTGGCTATATTTTTTATTTTTTGTAGAGATGAGGTCTCTTGCTTAGGCTGGCCTTGAACTCCTGGCCTAAAACTCCTACCTCCATCTCCCTGAATGCAGGGCTCAGAGGAGTGAGCCACTGCACCAGGCCTCTCTATAGTGTCTTTAATCTTATTACTTCAACAATCTCATTTATTCATCACTTCCCATTTAGGGTCAAGATCAAGGTAATTTATCTTGTTTCTGACTGCATTAGATGTTTCACTAAATACATTAAAAATTGGTATGCTGGGGCATATGCTCAGTTATGAGAGTTCATCTCCCAATTGTTTGATAGTTTGTACACACATGCATCCTAAATCTTACTTAATAAATCCAACAAGGGAGGAGAATGTTAGACTGGATTCCTCATGTAGGAGTCAATGGTATCTTTTTTCCTAAAGGTTTTAACAGTATCTTTCCTCCTAAAGTTCCAAATTCCTTTTTTTTTTTTTTTTTTGAGACAGAGCCTCAAGCTGTCCCCCTGGGCAGAGTGCCGTGGCATTACAGCTCACAGCAACCTCCAACTCCTGGGCTCAAGCGAGTCTCCTGCCTCTGCCTCCCAAGTAGCTGGGACCACAGGCGCCCGCCACAACGCCCGGCTATTTTTTGGTTGCAGCCGTCATTGTTGTTTGGCGGGTCTGGGCTGGGGATTCGAACCCGCCACCTTAGGTGTACGTGGCTGGCGCCTTAGCTGGTTGAGCTATAGGCACTGAAACAAGTTCCAAATTCTTATCTGGAATGATACAACTGAAAATATTCACTTCCTTTTGCATGTTGCTTTTAGCTTACATGCTTATAATCCTAGAAGCATTCACTTCTTTCTGGGAGCTTATCAGCTGAGTTTTATTTATATTTTTAAAATCCATTAATCTATCCATTCAACATTTATTTTCTAATTACATTAAGAGAAAGTCTCCACTGAATGTCAAATATGTTCTGTTGTTCCTGGACATATATAGAGGGTGCCAAAAATGTATACACATTTTAAGAAAGGAGAAAACTATTAAAATTGTGTTACCCTAGTCACATTTGACTTCTGCAATTACAAGAGGTGCTTAAACATGACTTGTAGTCAACTTTCATTGTTGGCATATAGTATTACAATTTTAGTATACTTTTTTTCCCTTCTTAAAACACGTATACACTTTTGAGCACTGTCTATATTTAAATTTGTGAGATTGTGAGTCCTGATTTTTGGTTTGGAATATTTCACTAGACCAATTATGGATGATCCAAAAGGACTGTCTTCTAGAAAAGGGAGGAGGCCGGGCGCAGTGGCTCACACTTGTAATCCCATAGCTTTGGGAGGCCGAGGCAGGTGTACTGATTGAGCTTAGGAGTTTGAGGCCAGCCTGAGCAAGAGCAAGACCCGTCTCTACTAAAAATAGAAAAACTAGCCGGGCCGTTGTAGGCACCTGTAGTCTCAAGGTACTAGAGAGTCTGAGGCAAAGAGTTTGAGGTTTCTGTGAACTCTGATGCCAAGGCACTCTACTCAGGGCACAGAATGAGACTCTGTCTCCAAAACAAAACAAGAGTGATAAGACTTTAAATTACAATGCACCAGGCGGCGCCTGTGGCTCTGTGGGTAGAGCGCTGGCCCCATATACCAAGTGGTAGCGGGTTCAAACCTGGCCGCGGCCAAACTACAACAAAAAAATATAGCTGGGCGTCGTGGCGGGCGCCTGTAGTCCCAGCTACTAGGGAGGCTGAGGCAAGAGAATTCCCTAAGCCACGGCACTCTGCCGAGGGCGATAAAGTGAAAGACTCCGTCTCTACAAAAAAGAAAGAAATCACCACGCACCACAAGGTTTAGGGGTCAGATACTTAGCCTTAAAGGAGGGAAAGAAAGGAGATAGCATCTTGTAATACTTTAAAGCACTGAATTCTAATCCTAATGACACCTAATTATTAATCTGATCTTTCAAATCTTGTGCTATGGTTTCATGTCTGATTTTCCTCCCTGAAAAGCTTTGACAATGGCAAAGGCCCTATGAGCAGATCAACGTGACCCACGCATTCCTTTCTCTCATAATCCAGAGAGTTCTTAACCTTCCCACTTCCACGAGTTGGTGCATTTTTCTGCGGTATGACTCTGCAGCTCTAATTAGGTTTTCAAAGGAGTTCGCGACTTCCCCAAAATGACAAGTCCTAATTCTGACACACTCTCGAAAAAAAGAGCTTAGTAAAAATTGTATTCAAGAAAAAACCAAGTACGCGCAAAGACAGGAAAGAAGGCCCTGTGTTGTCCCACGAGAATTCTTCCAACCACTGTCATTCACCAAGGTAGTTTTGACTGACACTTCCGAGTTAAAAATTCATTGTTTGGCACAAGCACCGGGGTCAAAACCCTGTCCTCATTCGCTCAGCGAAAACCCGCCACTTGCCTAATTCTCGACTGAAAACTTCGGATAAAACACAATGCCGGGCCCGGTGGGGTGCGACCGGCGAGGCCGCATGGTCGGCGCGTTGGGGTCACCTGACCCGCGCCGCCACGGTGCCTAGCCCAGCACTGGGCCACTGGCTGGGCGCCCGAGGCCCACCGGCCAGCCTCAAGCCAGGCCTTCCCCGCGCGGCTGGCGGCAGAAGAGTGGGGGGAGCGTCACCTGAAGGCTGTTGCTGCGGCTGATGCCGTCCCCCGCCCGCACCCCTGGCACCAGGATGTTCGTTCCAGCACCGATCTCCAAAGCGGCACCGGCCTTGAAGGAAGAACTGGCAAATGGTCATTGCGACGGCGGCACCAACGGAGGGGGTCTTCAGTCAGCACCAGTCAGCGAGCGGAGGGCACCGAACGACAGAGGCCATCTAGCCGGTACTGTGACGTCATCTTTTCGCGCCCAGAGACGGTCCTCTAGCTCTTGTTCCGTCCCCGGAACGATGAGAGACGTGGACTTTAACCAATAGGATTTGAGAACAGCGGACGGCCTTGGCGCTCCGCCGGTGTCGCGGGAGGTGCAAGACTGGAACCGTTAGGTGGAAGGGGAACGCGTTTGACCTCGGCGCCCGGCCTCGGACCTCGGGCAGGCTTGAGGTCCGAAATGAGAGGAAAGCAGATCAAGCAAACGCAGAGCTTCAGCAAGGACTGGAGAGGAGGATTAACTCTGGTTTGAGAGAATGAGGCTTGCTTTCCATTTGTAGCAGCTGTGAAAGTAAAAATTAACTCTGGCTGACAAAGTGAAAAGTTGCCCAGGCGTTCATTAGGTTGGAAAAGAGAGATACAACCGATTGTGGAAATAGGAAACAAAGTTTCTTTTTAGGACACAGGCAACAGAATGGTATCATAATAACCCCTTTGAGTAATCCATTCTTTTTTATTTTATTTTTGAGACAGCCTATGTCGCCCTCGGTTGAGTGCTGTGTCGTCACAGCTCACAGCAACCTCCAACTCTCGGGCTTCAGCGATTCTCTTGCCTCAGCCTCCCAAGTAGCTGGGACTACAGGTGCCCACCACAATGCTCAGCTATGTTTTGGTTGTAGTTGTCATTGTTGTTTGGCAGGCCAGGGCTGGATTCAAACCTGCCAGCCTCAGTGTATGTGGCTGGCGCTCTAGCCGCTGAACTACAAGCGCCAAGCCAGAGTCATCCATTCTTAACACACTGAGAAAGCTTGTTCACTGAAGTCCGCATAAAAGTTCAAAATGAAACATCCCATTCTTGCCTGGAGGGTCTAAATCACTTTGACACTTTGACAATTTCTGTCCAGGTGCAGGGCTTCAAATATAGGGCTTCTGAAAACATTTTATATTTTATTAACTTTGTAGTTTCCAAGGAAACATGACCCTATATTCATTTCTCAGTGTAGATCTGACGTTAATGCCTTTACACAGAGGTCTGCTTTGCTTTGGGTCTAGCAAAACGGTTTCATTTAAATTTCACCAGGTGGCCAGGTGTGGTGGCCCATGCCTGTCAATCTTAGCATTCTGGGAGGTCGAGGCTGGTGGATCTTCTGAGCTCCGGAGTTTGAGACTAGCCCGAGCAAGAGTGAGATCATGTCTCTACTAAAAATAGAAAAAAAAAAAAAACCCAAACAACTAGTCGGGCATAGTGGCGGGTCCGGAGACTGAGGCAAGAGGATCGCTGCAACCCTGGAGTTTGAGGTTGCTGTGAGCTCTGACGCCGTGACACTCTGCCCAGGGGGATAGATTGAGACTCTGTCTCCAAAAATTAAATAAATAAATAAAATTTCCCCTAAGCACCATTCTCACCCTCCCTCAAATATGATACCTTTTATTTCAAATGGTGAGACAACCCACCCTTCCTCTGGTGTGCAGTCTCCTTGTGTTGTGATGAGTCAATAAATTGGATTCTGTTGCATTACAGATATGTTGTAGTTTGGGTATGATCAGGCTGGGGGTGAGCCACTGATCTCGCAGTTTTTGCAGTTTTTGGCCAAGGCTGGGTTTGAACCCGCCACCTCCGGCATATGGAGCTGGCACCACCCCCATACTTTGGATTTTGAGAACAGCAGAATCTACAGAAGCACTGGGAACTACTGGTACAAACTAGTTTTTTTTTTTTCGTAATGCAATTCATTTGCTTTGAAACAATAAAATTTATGGAAGAATTATAAATACAGTACAAAGAACTTTTTGTCCTGAACTACTTTGAGACTATATTGTAGACTTAATGTGCCATCACCCAAATACTTACTGTATATTTCCTACAAATAAGGAATTCTCTTGCATAAACACAATGCAATCATCAAAATTAAGACTTTAATATATATGATGCATTATTATCTAATCTTTAGACTTCATGTTTTGCTATGTCCCAGTAATAGTCAGAATCATTGTGCCTTATCATATTTCATGTGTCTCGTTCAATCTCGAAGATTTCTTCCATCTTTTCTTAATTTTCATGATTTTCACATAATTATATTTTAATAGACAGAGTCTCACTTTGTCACCCTCAGTAGAGTGCTATGGTGTCATAGCTCACAAAACCCTCAAACTCCTAGGTTCAAGCCATTCTCTTGTCTTACCCTCCCTCCTAGCTGGGACTACAGGCACCCACCACAAGGACCGGCTGTTTTTGTTTTGTTTTTTGTTTGTTTGTTTGTTTAGCAGACCTGGGCCGGGTTTAAACCAACCAGCTCCAGAGCATGTGGCTGGCACCCTAACCACTGAGCTCCCAAGATTGGGCACCGACCGACCAATCTTGATGTTATTGAAAATTATAGGCTAGTTGTTCTGTAGAAGCTACTTACTGCAGATCTGTTTGATGGTTTCTCTTGATTAGATTTAGATTATTCATTTTAGTAGGATTGTCTTGGAAGTAGCACCGTAGTTTTCACAATGAACAGTGTGCACAATTTCAATTTTTCCCATTACATGTGATGTTCACTATGATCACTTGATAAAGGTGGTGTCTGCCAAGCTGTTCTACCATAAAGTTGTTCTTTTCATTATTAATAAGAATTTTTGTGGGCAGGGTACTTTGGAAATCGAGTTCATACCAATAATCTCTGATTCCAATCCAAGATCACAGGGTTTATTTTATTTTCCTCCTATATTTGTATTTCCCTTCTTTGATAGTGAGAAACTTGGAGGATCTAAATCACTTTGCCACTTTGACAATTTCTATCCAGGGGCAGGGCTTCAAATATAGGGCTTCTGAAAACATTTTACATTTTATTAACTTTGTAGTTTCCAAGGAAACATGACCCTATATTCATTTCTCAGTGTAGATCTGACGTTGACGCCTTTACACAGAGGTCTGCTTTGTGTAATTATACGTTTTAATCTGCTTGTATTAAATATTAACCAGTATTTCTTTGTAGTCACTGACTTTTCAGACCTGCAAATCCTAGCATGTGTAAGAATTTTGCTTGGATCAAAGATCTAAAATAATACCAGTAGTAGCTCAAGTGAGGGCAAGCACAGTGCTCCGTGAAGGTGGAGAGGGGCAAGGTCAGAATCCTGGGTTGATGTTATCTGGGTGGAGTGCTGTGCGAGACAAATGAAAGCCTAGGACTGAGGCTGGCATAACTTGATAGTGATAATTTTGGTGAGGAGTATAGGTGGAAATCAGGAAAGTGAGATTATAGGAGAGTTACTTTTGGTTTCAAGACAGCAGAGTAAAAATCCTTCTGCTTCCCCTTTCTCTCAAAAATCATCTCAAAAGGGAAGACAAAAACACCATTTCAGATTATACTTGGATATATCCATAATCTCAATCCACAATTTATGAACACTGCACCTGGAAGAAGAGAGTAGATTACTTAGAAAAGTGGAAGAAGTAAAATTAAATTTCTACAAGGTGACTGAGTCCCCAGAGAGAGCCAAAAAGCCTCAAGAATTAAGAGCCACCAAGTACCACAGAAGGGTGGATTGTTTTTAAATCTGTATGAGATATGGTTATTTAGCTCCAAAGCCCCATTAAGTTAGGCAACTGACTATCCCAATCTGATAGGAGATAGAATTTTCCTTTGATAAAAAGGAACAAGAGGCTTCAGGTTCCAGAACAATGGGTACAGGAGAGTTTATGCTTATTTTTTTTTTTTATTGAATGGTAACTATGTACATTAATGCACTTCTGGGGAGTGCATTATAAGCACTTTATGCTTATTAAGTGGTGAGTTAGAATTCTCTTTGTCTGAGCTCCAGAAATCTTGTTGGAAGGCTCATAGTCTTCTCATTTATCCTTCCCTTCTTCTAAAAAGCAGGAGATTGGAAGTTTATTCTTGTGGAGAATCAAACATCCCAGAAAAATACCTATAGATCTCTCATGGATTCCCAACAGAAATAGCTTGGCCATTTGTTCATCAATATAATGAAGTTTACCTTTATACCCCCAAGTTGTCAATTTTTAAAAATTAAATCATAGCTGCGTACATTAATGCAGTCATGGGGTATAGTGTGCTGGTCTTATATAAAATCTGAAATATTTCCATCAAACTGGTTAATATAGCCTTTATGTCATTTTCTTAGTTAAGACATTTATATTCTACATGTAGAAAAATTCACATGTACCCTTGTAAGATGAACCATAGGCATGATTCCACCAATCACTCTACCTCCACCCATCCTCCCCCCTCCCCTCCCTCTCCCCTTTCCCCATATTGTTGAACTATAATTGTGTTATAGCTTTCCTATGAAAGGTATAAATTAGTTTCATAGTAGGGCTGAGTACATTGGATACTTTTTCTTCCATTCTTGAGATACTTTGCTAAGAAGAATATTTTCCAACTCCATCCATGTAAACATGAAGGAGGTAAAGTCTCCATCTTTCTATAAAGCTGTATAATATTCCATGGTGTACATATACCACAATTTTTTAATTCGTGGGTTGATGGGCACTTGGGCTTCTTCCATGACCTAGCAATTATAAATTGGGCTGCAATAAACATTCTAGCGCAAATATCTTTATTGTAGTGTGATTTTTGGTCTTCTGGATATATACCTAGTAGAGGAATTGTAGAATCAAATGGCAGGTCTATTTTTAGTTCTCTAAGTGTTCTCCAGACGTCTTTCCAAAAGAAATGTGTTAGTTTGCATTCCCACCAGCAGTGTAGGAGTGTTCCCTTTTCTCCACATCCACACCAGCATCTCTGGTTTTGGGATTTTGTGATAGGCTTATCTTACTGGAGTTAGATGATATCTCAAAGTAGTTTTGATTTGCATTTCTCTGATAATTAAGGATGATGAGCATTTTTTCATGTCTGTAGGCCATGCACCTGTCTTCTTCAGAAAAGTTTCTCTTCAAGTCCCTTGCCTACACTGAGATGGATCACTTGTTCTTTTCTTGCCAATACGTGTGGATTCTGGTTATTAAACCTTTGTCAGAGATATAACCTGAAAATATCTTC